CTGGCGGATCAGCACCACGCTGGGGCTGTCTGAATCCAGGGAGTCACAGCTTTGCCGGTTCTCCTCCACCTGCGCTTTCTGCTCCCGGATGGAGGCTTCCACCAGGCGGAAGATCTCATTGCCCTGCTTGGTCTCAAAGGTGAAGTTCCCTGGGCCAGAGTCGCAGCGCCTGCCAGCTTCAAAGGAGAACATCACCTGCAGGGGAAGTGGAAGGGTCACATCCTGCCCAGCACCTGCCCCAGCACTCAGCGCGCTGTGCAGGCTGTGCTTCCAGCAGAGGGGCGCATGGCTGCAGCACTCATCCCGCACGTCCTGCAAGAGACTTCACTGAACGTCCTGCTCCTGCCGCTCCCTGCAGCGAGGGCCGCAGCTCGGCGAGCATCACCCCAGAGGCGCGCTGCGGCACAGCGTCGGGGCAGGGGCAGGCTGCGCTGCCCAGCAGACCACAACAAGCTATGAAACTGGAGAGGGAAGCACATTTGAGGGGACATCACTGCGAGATGTGCCAGGGCCAGAGCAGCAGGTCCTGCTGGAGACCTGCTGCCTTACCCAAGCCACTCCAGCAGGGTCACCAACTGGCACTGCATAGCCTAGGAAGTAACACCCAGTTAGCACTGAGAATGGAGCAGGGTGAGACGAAAGGTAACAGCTCAGCAGGGGAAACTAGTATGGGCATCTTGGGTAGGTCAGCATTAGCCAGGCAGAAGGGAAGCGAACCCGAGGTGAGAGGAACACAGCTTTCCACAGGAGAAAGGCCAGGAGCAGCAGTTTGGCTACCAATAGCAAAGCATTTGCCTTACCAGCATTACTCTGTTAATGGTATTGAGTACTTTAAAGACAAGTCTTGCACCAAGGCTGTGCTCCTCAGGCCCAAACACACGCTCCTGCATAGGTTCCCACCAGCAGATGCCCACATCCTTTCAGAACCTCAGTCCCTGAATCCAGGTGAGATTTTCTGCCTCCCTGGTGCTCTCTCACATGCAGCAGCAGTCTCTGGGATTGCTGCAAAAGCTTCTGGGGCCAGACTTCCTTTTGTGGGTCAATGCTGCCACACACCAACACAGCGGCCCAGGGACCTGCGAGTGCAGCTGCCTGCTCCTCACACCACATGGCTGTCCTTCTGCCCCTGCCCCAGACCCTGCAGATGAGCCAGATGCCTCCCCAAGAGCAGCTCGGTTTCCACTTCTGTTTTGGTAAAGTGCTGCAGAAATCGTCACCAGCAGACTGCAGCCAACATCGTTACTTCTATAAACAGCCCTGGGGAGACCACTTCCACCCTGTCCAGCGCAGCAGGTACCTCTTGAGCTCAGGGTAGCAGCAAGGCAGATCATGGAGGACACTGGAGAGGGGACAGACCTACACAGCCAGGCTAAGAGTAGTATGCCCTGTAAGGTGAACAAATCTAGAGTAACTGGTGTCTTCAATAGCTGCTCTTGTTCCAGTGACTATCATCCGGGAGGGATGGACTGAATCCCGAGCAGAGCCAGGACCACAGGGCGCCAAGGGCCCCGGAGGCTTGGGAGAGCTTGTGTGCAGCATGGAAGCACATGCCTGCCCATGGCACGGGCTGGGGAGTGCTGGGATGGAGAAGAGGGGCAAGTTAGCTGTGGTGATGTCTGGCAGAGGGGCCATCAGGGGCCGGGGGGAGCAGGGCAAGGACCACCGAGAGATGGGCTCTGCACAGCCATTCCCTCGGCAGGGACGGGTGTCCGGTTAGCCCGCACTCCTGCACGGTGACACAGGTGGGAGCTGAGGACAGATGGGATCAGAGATGTCCCTGGGGACCCTGTGGCAGTTGCCAAGGGCTGTAGCAGCTCTGGCGTTCGGCAGGGCACGCGGCACAGCTGCCCCAAGATGGATGCGCGCAGCAGCTCCTCACCCTTCTGCAAGGGAAACCCTGCGGGGAACAGGCCTCGGCGTGCGGCATGCAAGGAACCCCAGCCCCTCACCTTGTCCCGGCCGTATCTCCGGAGCAGCCGGTAGGGCCAGACATAGAGGATCTCATTCATCTGTGGGTCCTTCAAGACGAGGCTGTCACGCTCAGCTTTGAGCACGTAGGCGCCACGCAGCTTGCATCGCTCCGCAGCCTCGGTCCGTTGCACCGTCACCCAGAAGGCATTCACTGTGGGGACAAGGATGCTCAGGGGAGGGTGGAAGAAGCCGTATCCCCAGCTCCAGGCCAGGCCTGGCCCTGCCACCGGAGCCACGGTGACAGGGCAGCAGCAGGACAGGCCCCACACAAGGCAGCCCCAAGTCCCACCTTCATCTCTTGAGTAGTAGATGGAGTTCACGGCCATCTCCAGGGCCGGCACCTCCTCGCCACCCCCTCTGCCACGCCGGGCCACCACACTGGCATCGCTGGGGCTGTTTCCCTGACAAGGGAGAGCAGATCAGCCCAGACCCCTCTTCCCAGATCAGCCTCGGGTCCTCTTGTAGCCACCGCCCTCCTCCCCAGCCCCGCATCGCTTGGGACCTCCTCAAGGGGTGCATCCCCCCCCCCAGGCAGCTCCACCATCCCACAGCCATCCCAAGCCCTTCCCTGCCCAGAGCCAGCAGCAGATCCCAGGGCCACCCTAACCCGAGCCAACATGAGCACAGGTTAACAGGGCCAGGCAGCGCAGAAAGGGCTTCCCTGGAGCTCCTGGCACAGCCCTGGGCCCTGGCTGCGCTGTGCATTGTAGAGGGTGCAGAAAAAAGCAGTTACTCCCGGCAGCCCTTCCCTCCAGACCCTGCGCCCTGTGCAGCAGAAGTCAGCACCGAGACACAGCTTCCTGCAGGGCAGCACCTGGGCATCCCACGAGCCCCCTCCACTGCTGCTTTTCCGACCGCTACGGCACGGCCATGAAGGTGCCCTGGTGCCAAGGCAGAGCACAGCTCTGCTTCCTCACCGACGTGCTCCAGCACAGGCGACATCAGCACCCAAAGCATTGCACGGGCCCAGGCACACTCTTCCAGCGGTCTGAGCAAGGGAGGGAGCTGACGAGACGACCTGGTAACGCAAGGGTCTGCGTCCTGCTTGTGCACAGGCAGGAGGGCGGTGCCAGTGTCAGCGCACAGCCCGCAGGAGGGAAGCGAGCACTGCTATTTTAGCACATGCAGAACTGAAAGTGCAATGTGCACGCTCTGCCAGCCACCGTGTCCCTGCTGCAGGGTCCCCCGAGGGCCTGCACCGGGGGCGCGCCCTCGGTGCTACCGCCGAATAGCACAGATCCCCCTCCAGGAAGCCCCACACGAATCACAGGCTCACAGATGCCCTGCAAGAGCTGCTGCAGCAGACTTGGCACTATTGCATGGGGGTCTGTATCCGGATGGGAGCTGGAAGCTGCTTCTCAGGGTCACGTGGGATGGGGTTGCAGCAGAGCGTGTGTCTTGCGGAAGGCAAGCTGTCACAGCTTCAGTTTAAAACCCAGCCACAGGAGCTTCTTAGCAAGAGGCAAGGCCCCAAAAGGGCCATCAGGACCTCTTGTTTGGCTCCTAAATAGAATGGGGACTGCTAAAACCTACTGTCCCTACCGCTAGTAGCAGCAGCTCCTGCCCAGCTAAAGCACCTAATGCAGCAGGGTTCCAGCCTGGGATCGGGAAGTCAAGGGCCAGCTGATCTGCCAAAGCCCTTTAGGGCTCCATTTGACTGCTCTTCCCTCATCTTCAAAAGAAAAAGGAATTCTGTGCTTTTGCAAACAATCTCTGGCCCCAGTTCCCAAGCTGCTGGGCCCTGCCGACCCTCTGGGCAGCACCAGACAACACGACACAAAATCATGCTCTCCACGCAGACGACCAGAAATGACAGCTGAGGATCTTCAGCTTTTTGCAGAGGCCACGTGCAGCTCGTGTGCCTCTTGCTTCAGGCCAGGTCTAGAACACATGCCATCCTTGTAGCCTTTTGCTCACCACCACTCACCTAAACTGTCAGCTTGCTTCTGGACCTCAAGCAGGCCAACTCACAGCTCCTCTGTAAAGGAAGGTCCGAGAACACCCCTGCTCCAAGCAGATGCTCCCTTGCCTTGCCGCTACCCTGCACTACTCCAAAGGCACCTGCTGTGTCCTTAGCTCAGCCCCGCAAGCCGTTTCCAGGACAAAGGCTGAAACACTGTCTGCACCAAACAGACACGGGCATGGACATAAAGTCATTTCCAGCACCACACCAGTGCCAACTGGCCTGGTCAGGAGGGCACCTGCTGCAGGAGACACATTTGGCTTGAAAGCAGACTGCAGGGAGACGCAAGCAGGGACAGGAAAAGACTTAAGGTAAATCACACGTGGCAAACACCCAGGTCCTTGTGGGAAGATCCTGGGATCACCAGCTGTGCAGCCAGCCATCCCGCGAAGCAGCCCTACCCAGCACTGAAAGCCTGGAGTCAGCTAGAGCACAACCCAGGGCTGTGCAAACATCTCTTAGGAGGGAAAGGAGGGGACCTGTGGGGCAGGGCAGATGTGGGCTGCTTTTGCAGAGCAGTGTGGGCGACCGTACTCGTGGGCCACCTGCTGTCCAAACCGCCTTTGCAGGAAGGTGTCACGCTGGCTGACCACCAGCTCCAGGGAAGGCTGCACAGCTGCTACAGGGGCGCAGGAAGAGGCCAGGAGAGCCGGAGGGCTGCACCACAAGCCCAGCGCTGATGGGGTGTTCCCA